AATTCATTTAAAAGTAACGCCTATATTAAAATCAATAGTTCCACAAATAAAAGGTTGTTTTTTCAGAACTATGAAATACTTATTGTATAGTTTTAATAGATAAATAAAAATAAACTTTACCATATCCCATAGTTGTTGCACGCGAGACCGATATGTAATGGGTTCGAATCTTGAGAGGTGGGATCGTGGATGTGTACTGTTAAAGAGTTCTAGAATAAGACAAAATGGCCGTCTAGTTCTTCCAGATTTTCTATGATTGTCTAACTTCAATTGACTCATGATCTCAACTATATCCATAAAAACCTCTTCTGATATTCATCATTCTTTTAATAAATACATTCTATTTAGGTGTCAAATTGAATTTAATCAACAAATTTAATATAGAATAATAGTAAATTCACTATTGAATTAAACAAAAAGCGAAATTTCTCTGTTGTTTTTTTAAAAAATGTTGATTACATTCATTATTATCATTATTATCATCATCAATAGAATGATATGAATTTTTCAAAAGAGAAAACAAAACCGACTAATCAATAAATAACACACATGGTAACTATTGAAAAGAAAAATCAATGAAAAATTTGTTATGATAATTTTACATAATAAAATATTATTCAGACACTGTCTATTATTGTCTAGTTAAAAGTTAAGAACTATTATTTATGTAAAAAAGAAAGATGTTACTTATTTCAATATTTTAGTGAATCCATGTAAAATGAATGAAAACAAAATGTGTAATAATTTAAATTCATGTTTTTTTTTAAAAAAAAGTCAAATGAAAAAATATGTAATGAACTACATAGACTACTTACAAGTATTTTTTATCCAACTCTGTCTTAAAAAATCCTTTCCAGTTATTTCTAGTTGTTATTCATTCTTTTAATGTTTGCTTACAATTCTCGATGTAATATGTGCCCTGGTCTTCCTCTCTTTCATTTTCCTTCAGGATTCCAAGTTAGCACCTGCCTCGTGATACAGTTTGCTAACTTCCTTAATGTATTTCCTATACACCTCAAGCATCTTTTCTTAATTTTCTCTTCATATGGAAGCCAGTTTGTTTTCTCTCACAGTAGGTTGTTGTAGTTGTTGTTATTGGTATATGGTCAACGGACATTAAGTACCTTGTGTAGACAATTGTTTACAAAAACTTACACTTTTGATGATGGTTGTAGTAGTTCTAGGAGTTTCAGCTCCGTATAGTAGAACTGTCTTGACGTTCGTATTCCAGATTGTGACTTTGATGTTGGTTGAAAGACAGTTGTTTCGAGTTCCATATGTTGTTCAATTGTAGGAATGCGTCTCTTTCTTTACCAATCCTTACCTTTACGTGTGCATCAGATCCTCCTTGTTTATCGATAATGCTCTCTAGTTAAGTGACAGTATCTTCCTGTTCCAGAGCTTCTTCGTCAAGTTTGACTGGGTTGGTATTCTTCGTGGTGTATCTGAGGATCCTGTCTTTTCCTTTGTGTATTTTGAGGTCTACTGATGCAGAGGCTCCTACTGCACACTACTTTTGTGTGAACTACAGGGATTAGATTATAATAAATCAGTAGACTATTAAAAAGAATATCGTCGTTTTTTTCATTGCTCAACTAAAAATAAATAGATAGATATGACAAGACAGTTTATGAAACAATAAAAGCGATGTATCAACATTAATTGGCTACTTATTAGTAACCGATATCATAGTGTCAGATTCTTAGTCCTGATCGGATTCAGCGTTGGATTGTTCAAGTGATTCAAAATTGTGTTGGTAATTACCTGGTAATAAGTGATTTAAGTTGACTAACAGAATCCAATGAAACTAAGTTTTATGGTAGGTTAATAGCAAGGGACTGATGCCTCACATTATATTCTGAATCGTGTCACGGTTAAAGAGCTTACTACTGAGTTATTCGGGTTACTTTCGGCTTCCTGCAGGACAAATGTATTTACTCTACTTTATCACGTATGATTAACTGTTATGTTCTTCTGGTTCTCAATGCTAATCGACTTTTATCAATCTCGTTGCCATTTATCCACTAGTCTATTTTGCTAACCATCATGGAACATTCTCTAATGTGAGATAGCTGAAGCTAGTAGGCATAAATACTTAGAATTAAGATTCATACTAGTTGATATTCGATTTTTTCAGCATAACGATAATGATGAGATGATGTTAAAAATTTAAATTCAATATTTCTTCTGCGGGTCTTTTGGTGAATGCATTATCATACATCTCATTGTTACTTTTGAGATTCACACTCATGACAAATTTCTGTTCACAAAAAATCAAAATGTTATCTTCATAACCAAACATCAATGGTAGTTACTACTTGTTCATATAAATTTCTTGTGATTTAAGAAATCTATGTAACTTGGACCATAATTAATATGAATGGAATAAACATTGCTCATCTACATAAGCTAGGGAGGTGGTGTAAATCCAATGTGATTAAATAACAGTTTCGTCATTGATTTGAACTATTTAGAATGTGTTACTTGAACAAAATCTATCCAACTACTAATTTTCTGTCATTTATACAAAACAAGAATTGAGAGATTGGAGAAGCGAAATAAGTATTATTGGTTGAGTAGTAAAACACCTTAAGTAATAACCTTCACGGAGACGCTCAAGTTAAGGCGACAAAACCAAAGTAATTGATTTCAATTCACAGATTATTTGAAACCTTATAAAAATAAAGACAACACGTTTTGATTGCCTCTTTCTAAATAAATGGATCATGAATGTAGCTAGAACTGTTTTGTGTACAAATATTCATCTCAAGGCGAATCTCTAATCAATTTTAAGTGAGGCTGATAAGAAGTTTTCTTATTCTGGTATTTTTCTTCACTAACGCATTACTTTCTAAACAAACATTTTCATCACCGATATTATATCACGCTCTATTGTGATAATCTCTCATTCAGTTTGGATGTCACACTATTGTACGTTGATACCGTTGTTATTGCGATTATCACTTTACATTTTTCATTTATGTATCTAGTGAGTTTCTTTTAACTCATAGTCTACATCATTTGCTCTTTCATCTAATAATATCAAAAGAACTTGGTTTTATTAACACGGGCAATAATTATCTTACGTGGTTAGAAATAGTCGACAAGAAACCCTGGATCTAGGTTTTGTGCTAGTTGGTACTGATCAGAAAGGCACACTTCAAATCTTAAGGGAAACGAGGCTCCCTTTAGGTACCAAAGTGACCTCCTGTAAGACTAAGATGTCCACGGCTGACTAAGCACTGAGTAGTGACCAATTTTATGTTTGCCTAGAATTTTGATGCTGTACGAACTCTGCCTATCATGAGCTTAACTCTCCCTATAATAGACAAACCTCTATGAATCATGACTATTATTCTTAGAACTTCTATCATATATATAAGGCTTCCAACATTCTGAGCCTATATAGTACTCTTTAAATTCAGTTTCTAATTTCACCTAAATAATTCTTCTATCTATCTATAATTGCGATATAAGTTGATAATATTTTTTTGAAATCTTACGCTTAATGATATAATTAGAATTAATCTCATTTGCTTGTTTTTGCAAAGAACCTTACCTACAAAATCCAGATACTAACTTGTGTAATGTGTCCGAACTTCACTCGAACGTGTTTGCATGTTCCCATTGATGCTATTAAGGACTGCAAAGTAGTAATCTCTGCTGTCACATATATATCTGGAATGGATTACTCTGGTATGGTCATTTAGTCACAAATATTTACCAGGCTTAGGTAGGGTAGTGACCATCTGGACTCTGGAGTTTAATCGATAATTTATTGGCGTGGGAAAAAAAGGTAGCGGTTTCGAGTTTCAGTATGGACTTCAACACTGAGATGTTTTTTACCCATCTAATGAGCCAAAAATAGAATGAACAAATATATTGCATCCCTTTGCTGGACACTCCGACCTTAATGAAAACTTTCATATAAATGAAATTATCGAGTTACTTCTGTCAAGATACTTATATACCAGTAGAGACTGATCATTTGCAATCCTTAGAATCGACAACGGGAAACTAAGACATTTCATCTCATCATAGTACACTAACAATGGGCACTGTATTTTTCGAAATCAAAGTTGAGATCCATAGCATAAATCATGAGTATTTAATAAAATAGCTAATTTAATATTAATTAGGTATAAAAATATAATGGCTTGTATAAGCAATCCTGATTGTGACACAGAATATGATATTATACATGCATATACTTAAAGAGATGGCAGTTGATAGTGTTGAATATTCCACAAACTAACGTGCATATATTCCTAGTTTTATGTTGATCTTCACTAGCCGACGAGACTTAAAAAAATGACTGAACGTAGAAATTATCGAACATGCTTATATGTTTTCAATGTCATGAAAACCAAACAGTGACGTATGTACGAACGTTAACTCCCCGCTGGCTAGCTTTAGCTGTGAACTTCAGAAGTTCTACGAAAGTCTAATTTTTCCTAAATTTACTATTCATCAGGTCAACTTTTGTTTATTCGACCCGTGTTCTGTTACACATTTGTAAAACGAACACAAACACAGTTGTCTGAATTTATTGATTAGATTTAAATACTAACTATTTTCTGTAATTCACATAACCGCTGTCTACAATAATGATCCAGTCGATACTTAACTACCTAGTGATCGGTTTACTTAAAACTAAAAAAACATATTCCTAGTTCACCATATTTATCTTTAACAATGTATTCGCATTCACTGTTTGCCTAAGCATATCTTAACTGGCACAGACATTTATCTCGTACAGTTGACCTGTTTTGTTACAATATGTAACTTTCTAATAACATATTAGTAGCTAATGACCTGATTTTTTGCAATATCATGAAGTTACATCTTATTGATTTAACTGTGAAAATCATTATATTTCAGTACATAGGCATTTTCTGTAAATAAATCTACCCATAACAAATTCAATCAATTGAATAGTGAATATTTATTGAGAGAACATAACAAATCTTTCTTTTTGTTCAAATATATGGTATATCTAGAGCCTGTACAAACTTTCTATCCAACAGAAGATTTAGTCGAAGCAGCACGTTATCTTAACATCATGGCCGGAACACAAGAACTTGATCGTTTATTGGAAGAATTACGCTTAACAAGTATGAATATGGCCGCCGGTCTTCCTCCTCCATCTAATACGCATTATAATTCCAAACCATATTATTCTTCACAAACATCACGAAAACAATTGTTTCATGATGAAGTTTATCCAGATCATCGATATGCTCCGAGTAGTAGGTCTGCTTCGGTCACTGGTTACAATACTGATGCACATAATTTTAATGATTCTTTACGCTCAAATTATCACAAACATTCAACCTTCTATTCAGATCGAATAGATAATATCGGAAAAAGTACCAGTAAATTTAATTCCTCTTTTTCAACACCTCCACGACATCAGTCGGTATTTACGACAACACTGAAACAACGTCCACCTGTTGCTCCTCGAAAATTCAATCAAATTCATTTAACTATTGATCCTGACTGTGGAACCACAGACGTAAGTATAAAAATCAGCCTTTTCACGTAACTATTTTGATGTTTTCTCGGACAAATATTATTTTAGACTTATACGAATATTATCACACTAACTTGTACAGAAGTAAAACATGTAGTAACAAAGTAGTTGATTAAGAAGGCGTTATCAATCAAATACATAATGCATAATTATAGAAAACGTGCTTCACATGAATAGTTGATAATCTGTGCCATGGAATTACTGCTCATTATTCGTTCAGTAAAACAAAACAAAATCTGCTTCAAAATAGAAAAATACATTTGCTACCATTCTAATCATACGATCCTTCATAACAAAATAGTACTAACTAATCAGAAAAGCATGTCTGTAGGACTTTAACTTACATCACCCAGCATCGCAGTCCGAGATATTATCTCTGAGCTACCCAGCCCAAAACTAAACTATAGGACTGAGATATGTACACCAGTTGTTCTCTGAGCAGTAAACAATGTTCCCCTATCTCTAAGTATTGATTAGATCTTGTTGACTAGACTACAATATTCCTACCCATACATAAAATATTGTTTAAACTTATATGTAGTCAATCCACTAGTTTAGATGTGTAAATAAAGATTAACCGGTTACTCTGAAAAAATCACATAAGGGAGAGGTAGATTTCATTAAAATAGAGGATATGTACTGCTGAGGAGTCTCATATTAGGACAATACAACCATTTGATTTTCATTAGTTTTCAATAGTACTCTAACTAAGCCCAATCTATGAAAGATATCAGCCACAAATAAGTTAGTCTTTGATGAGCCTATTATGTGATGGTTACACAGTTTTATCTCTTCATTCTGACGGACCAAGGACTCAGAAAAAATACCAGGAAAACCTAGAGATATTTGAGAATGAAAATGTATACAAATTGATGGACAATAATCCAGTCAAAAAGCTGAACAATCAGGTTTCTAGAATTTTAAAAAATCTTATCAGTGCAGGAAAAATATATAAACAAGATCAATGATGGTAAGCCAAATCTACACAAAACAAATGTCCCACTACTCTCAATTGTATCACTCCCTGGAACCATAATGTAAAATTTATCAATAGAAAATTCAAGAATATTTAGACATTTGGTGGATTCTCATTAGATCATTCCGTTAAACCATGCATACAATCTTTGGATAAGATTTTCAAAGTTAAAATCAACAACGATGAACTGATAATATCATTTTATGGTACAGCTATCACTGAGTGTAAAGATCAAATACCTTATGTTGCATTTAAACATCATCGCACATGTATAAGATCCTTAAGTTCCGGTAGTAATAATCTTAGAGTTGAGATTCCGATCCATAGTTGTTACTGTAGTCATCATAAAGAAACACAAAAGAATTGATTGATAACAATGAAACCAAAGCATACAAAGAATGACGGAATACACAAGCAAAATGTTCATTTTATGGTCATAGAATATAACTAACAGAAATAACATATATTCATTAATAGTATTATTATTGTATTTCGTTATGCAGGCAACTAATGTGGCTACACATACCCATGCAGATGCACATATTCATATGTGCATTTGCATAAAAACACAGACTTTCTTATAAATCTGAATGATATTAAACTACACCAAAATATTGATTCGAATGAATCACCTCTGTTTTTATTTTGCCTTATAAATTGTAAATTTCTTTTTCATAAAATACTTCAAATGGAACGAATGTTTTAGGGTTTGTAACCATAACAATGGATGAAATTCATTGTAATCCCCTCCTTCCTTGTTTTGAACGATGCATTGATAATTCTGAGTTAACGAGTTTCTCATCCTATAAGTGCTTCTGATGCTTCTTTGGACAGCATCAGAGAAACTCCCTGAGTGTGTGAAGCAGTTTCTTCTTCATGATCAGGTTACAACAGCACCTTTCCTGAAGGTAATCTTTTCCATCCAGCTTGCGCCTATTGGATTTCATGTATACTGAGCACGGCCATGTTTTATCTCCTCATTTCCGTTGCTGTATAATTCGTTAATAATGACTACATCATAAAATACTAAAGCGAAAACCTATTCATTTAAAGTGAAAACACTAAATAATTATGTATTTAATGAATCATCATTGTAATATTTCTTTCATGCAATCAAAATCTCCCCCTAACCATAGTTATTTCTATCGATATTTACACTTGTCCTAACACAGACACCTCATGTTTTATACATAACTGGTAAGTTAAGAGATTGTACAATTTGAAATGAACTTGTGAAGCACTTTTCTTTAGATAGATACACACATAGATAAGATATTTCCCTGAAGAAATTTGGTTTAAGATTGATTTATTCATTGGTTTAGAAGTCGTAAAATAAATTTGAATCAACTGGAATCAAGGATTAATATACAGATACTATTTTTGTTATTTTGGTAAAAGGAATGTTTTTTTTCACGTTAGCCAAAAACAGCCTCAGGAAATTTGACTGACTTCTCAGCTTCGCAACCAACATATTAAAATTAACCAAAATTCAAAAGGAAAACTTTTCTGACAGAAATCACACACTAAAATGATTGAATGGATAGGATTATTTTCCTATTAAACCAAACTAATCATATGAAATGAACACATACTTGTTACAAAACACTTTGTTTCTTTTATACTGTCCACTGTATATTGGTTCTATCTAGTCTCATCCCTCTAATCCCGTAAATTATCACTATGTAGACTTTACCTTTTTAAGCCCTACATCCTCATTAATGACAAAGTTAGGAGCAAAACGTCTGAACTGGTGTTTATTACATCACTGACAGACAATTAAATACCTATATGTAACTTGATGTGGTACTTGGTTGACGTAGAAAATTACGTATTCATAGAAAAACAGCTATCTTTTAAATTTGACATTTTAATTAGAACTACTTGTAAGTAGTGTATTATATCTTACAGCAATTTCCCTTAGCATATTCATATTCCATTTATATATCGATTAACACTCAGGTTTAAAAGAAATTGAAATTTTTCATTTGGTATTTTCGGAATTATCAATATAAAGATTTTGTCACTTGAAGTAAGTTTTCACCAATTCGAAACTCATATCTTAGTTATAAGTAAAGATGGTTGGTGGCTAGCAGAAGAATCCAGGACGTGCGTCTCGTCCTATTCGGGACTCGGCAGCTGGATGTACCTGCATCCCAGAGTTGATGTTCACTTCGAGACTCGAATCCGATATCTTAGTTTATATGGTTCTTGTCTATTTTTTTTATGTGAAGTGTATATCCGATACTAACATTTCCTACATAAAACTATGGTAAGCTGTTATTTAGTAGATAGGTTTTTAATTTCCCGTGCATTAGAATTCAGTTGTTCAGATTTTTAAGTTCAGTCCATTCGGATTGAAGTACAACAAAAGTTCAATAAGAACGATGATAAATATTTCTACCTCATCATTATAGAAATTCATCAGTCACAATTTCAGTTATTTACTACTAAATACAATGGTATTATTTTCTCAGCTGATTTTTGGAAATCTTTCTTTTCATCACAGCTGCAGATACACTAAAAGACTAAAAGTCATTCGACTGCTTTCATGACCCTTTTATGATGCAGGCCGAAAAATTCCGTTTACACCACTATCTTAATAGCATCGAGGAACTCAGTCAGAGTTGATCGGCTCGAGTTCCTATTTTAGCGAATTAACAGTAAAACCTTATCTTCAATCAACACTTTCAGTTTTTTGTTGCCCCATTTCCAATTTTGTTGACTGTACATATCAAACCTTGCGTTATAACTTAACAATAATAATACGGTAGAAACCAGAAATGAATATACAATTTACCTTCTCGAATGTGTAATAGTGTTTAGAATCACTCTATGTAAAAATAACAATCACTATTAAATTTATTACATAACCATATATCAAAAGTAAACTTTCATTCACCTCTTCGAAATTCAATTAACGTAATTATACTTTTAACTCTTTTTCAACTTTATTATTTGTTTAAGGCACAATCCGCTGTTTCAGTTCGTCTTGAAAATAGTCATGACTCTTTTAGACGTGAAAAAAAACTTGAAAATGATTTACAAACAGCAAGAGAAGAATTAGCTAATCTTAGACGTGCAATGAGTTTAGTTGATGAAAGACATCAACGTATTGAAAATATAAATGATTCTAGAAATCTAATTTCACCAAGTCATTCAGTACCAAGACGATCACCAAATATGGAAACACAACAATATTTAAGTACAAGTTCATCATTTCAACGATCTTATCAAGTACAACAGCATAGTACTCCAGGAAGGTATGTTTAATCTTTTAAGCACCGTTTTCTTTCTCATATATTATAGTGTTGAAACTTTCGTTAATACTCCTTTTTTGTATTTTTCATTAAATAAATAGTAGACAAGAATCATTTATTTCGGTCATTTTTCTTATCGTAACTTTAGACATAAACATAATATGGTTATCATCACTTCTTAGATAAACTGTCATTTAATATTCTCTCATTGAAATGATATGTACATACAGATATACCGTTGAAATTTCATTTGAATACTGAACAACTACCCATGGTGAAAATACTATCAAACATTTGTCTTTTTTTGATGACCAAAAGCTTTAATGTTTATGAATGTATCATTGCTTTGAATCTCATTTTATGCCTAACTGAAAGTGTATATAATTGATTTGACAATGAAAATAGATTGATAAATAGTGTATTGCGAAAATAAATATTATAACCGTGATAAAGACCGACCAGTTGTGATCTGTTAATTTTCAGTAAGTTACGCTGTCATGTTTTGCTAACTCAATAATTTATAATTAACCTAAGGAAATTCGTATTCATTCATTCATAAGACAGGATTATTTCTCAGTTGATAAAAAAGCCTTAGTTTCACAAGTTATACAGATTAATTTACTTTTGGAATACATCTTGTCACGAAATGACTTCAGTTGACGAACTGTTGTAAACTCGTGAGCATTAGATAACTATTTGATTCTAGTTCGAAAGTCTAAGAATTAATAAAAAATTTGTGTGGATATCCGTTTCGTTTTAAAATAAATTAATAAAAAGCTTACTTACGTACTTACGCCTGTTACTCCCGATGGAGCATAGGCCAACAGTCAGCATTCTCCAACCCACTCTGTTCTGGGCCTTCTTTTCTAGTTCCATCCAATTGTTGTTCATTTTTCTCATGTCTATCTCCATTTCTCGGCGTAATGTGTTCTTTGGTCTTTCTCTTTTCCTTTGGCCTTGAGGATTCCATGTGAAGGCTTGTCTTGTGACGCAGTTGTGTGCTTTCCTCAATGTGTGTCCTATCCACTTCCAGCTCTTCTTCCTGATTTCTCCCTCCACTGGGATCTGGTTTGTTCTCTCCCACAGTAGGTTGTAGCTAATAGTGTCTGGTCAACGGATCCGAAGTATTTTGTGTAGACAACTGTTAATAAACACTTGTAACATCTGGATGATGGCTTTCGTAGTTCTCCAGGTTTCCGCCCCATACAGTAGAACTGTGTTGACATTTGTATTGAAAATCCTGATCTTGGTGTTGGTTGACAGTTGCTTTGAGTTCGAGATGTTCCTCAGTTGTAAATATGCTGCTCTTGCTTTGCCGATCCGCGCCTTCACATCTGCATCAGATCCACCCTGTTCATCAATGATGCTGCCCAAATACGTAAAGGTTTTTACATCTTCCAAATCTTCTCCGTCAATTGTGATTGGTTTGGTGCATTCTGTGTTGTATCGGAGAATCTTGCTTTTCCCTTCGTGTATATTGAGACCTACTGCTGCTGAGGCTGCTGCTACACTGATCGTCTTCTCCTGCATTTGTTGTTGCGTTTGGGATAAAAGGGCCAGATCATCTGCGAAGTCTAGATCATCCAACTGCATCTTAGATGTCCATTGTATCCCGTGTTTCCCTTCAGACGTTGACGTCTTCATGATCCAGTCGATCAGCAGGAGAAAGTGAAAGGGTGAGAGTAAACAACCTTCCTGACACCGGTCTTTACTTCGAACGACTTTGTCAGTTGTCCTCCATGCACGATTTTGCAGTTTAATCCATCATATGAATTCTGTATGATATTGACTATTGTCTCAGGCACGCAATAAAAGGCTAGCTTCAATTATTTATTAAAGCAAATATTTGTTTATCACAGATTCGGACCTTGGTTAAGTTGTATTCACTTTTTTCTACTGCTGCACTGCACTACAAGTTCTGTATATTAGCTTTCTTAAATTTCACACTTGTTACTCCGTATAGAAATGATCATTTCTATTTTAATTCTGCTTTAAATTTCCTTTAATCTTTATAGATGTTAGAATTAATTTTCAATGAATTGTAAATTTTGTGGAGAGAAAAGTCACAAACAGCAAATACTACAAACTATACAGAATTATCAGTTTAGGGGTTGTAGAGATTGTTACGTTTTTGATTGAGATCATGAACCGATTGATGTTAGACCACCATTGAAAATCTGGAAGTACTGGACGGCCGTTTCGTCTTATTGCGGGACTCCTCAGCAGTGCTCATCCACGATCCCACTCGCGGGATCCGAACCCAGGGCCTTCAGTCTCGCGCGCTAACTCCTAACCTACTGGAATACTGAGCCGGCATCCAATTAAATTTGCATTGGTGTAATTGTAGTTAATAGATCAACATGAATAAATCATAAGCTGATAGGTTAGCTCTATGTCCGATTGATGGCAAATAATAATGAATCCATATTTTATTATAGCAAAATATGTATATACTTTATAGCCAAAAGTACCAGATATCGTGTATGCACTTGACAAATTCATAAAATATGTGGTACTAATGAAAAGATAAATAAATGTTAATGCTAAAGGGATATCAATGAGTTCATAGTTTCTAAGAGAACAAAAACAATATGAACGTTTAATGACTCCCATTGAATTTGAACAAAGTTTTAAGGGGTTGATCCCATGACGAACAGTGATGATATTGAATGATATAATAAATAATTATTGATTAAGAAGTCAAACAGATGGGAAACATCATTAAGGAATGTGGAAAGAACCACCTTATACAATGTTCAATAAAAGTGCTATAGTTGTCATTTTCGAGAACTTCCCCATTCCTTTGGTGTGCCTGTATTCAATATTCAGTTTTGACCTGAAACCTCATTTAAATCGTCTAAAACTGCCTACAAATGTCTTTTGTGAACATGCTAACATAGCGCTTCTCAGCTTGCTGGATGTAAAAACATATAAAGTGAGGGTTGAAGATTATGACAAAATACCCACTGAAAATTCTGCTTTTATACGCAACATTCACTCACCAAAAGAATGGAACTTTGCTAAATGATCCACACATTTCAAACACGTAAAAGCAGATGAGCTGCAAACTCATGGACACGTATCTTATCCCATCAAGGAAATAATAGTAATAACATTACTAATGATAGGTCAAGATCAAGTTCAAGACAAAAATGATTTATAGTTCTTCTAAAGATAGAATTCAGATTCTATTTCAAGCATAATCAAACGTACTAATGTTCTTAGTTAGAAATTATGAAATCTAGGTAAATGCGAATAAAGTTTGTAAACGACTTTTAAAAGAAGAGTTAACTTAGTATTAACAGTCAACTAAATGCTTGGTGTTCGAATGTTTTCTCTTTCATACCATCAGACATAAGCTAGATTGTATCCTCGCATGCGCAATGAAGACAACTGCTGACTTCAGTTAATGTACCTTGGCTCACAGGAATTGATGAATAGATTGATGCATATGTGAGTAAACTTACTTTTCACACATACAGAAACAGTTTCCAACTGACAAAATAAAACTTATTTCAGAAATAATTCCAACGCCAATCATCAGTAAAACAAACTTTATTGACCACAAGAAGTGAAACCCTTTAACATGCATCAATCTTTAACTTTTTGTCTGAATATTGTAGAATGTTTTCTAAGGACACTTCAGAAACAATCTATTCAACTGAAGTGTATGTAGTTGTTTTTGTGTTTCATTATCAGTCAATGCACAATATTCAGTTGCCTTAGACTGAAAACCATAAAATGATAAATAAACAGTTTAATTTTCAAACAAAACACATTACTAAGAAAAGAATATGAAAGTTGTTTTTACACAATTCATCAGTCAATTAACACTAGCACATCAAAAGTCGATCAATACATTCAGTTTATCATGAATTATTTGCTTAATTAATTGATTGAAATTAACAAGTAACTACTCCGATACTACCTATTCAGCCTTTGTAATTCATCATGACTGAAAAGTATGCGGTTTTCTTTCGTGTAAATCAATGTAACAAAAATTTATTACTGTATAGCAATTACGTCATGTGAATTATATATGTATTTAATCATAATTAATATTATTATGTTTGTTAACTTAAAAATGATAAGTACTTGCATTGTTTCCATCATCGTCAGCATCATTGTCATGATAATCACAAGTAGTGAAAAAAAAGATGATCAATAATGAAAAACATATAGATCGTAGGTTTCATTCTCGCTGAATCTTCATTAATTAGTTGCAACTTATCATTTGGTTTGTCAAATGATCTAAAATTAACATGAAATGAAGATATTAAAAGTGATAAATGGGAAAATAGAAAGGGTGAATGAACAATAAAATGAAAGTATGACTGAGAATAAGAGGAATATGAAAATAATAAGTTAGAAAATACATGTAACCTAACATGTTAGTCAGTACTTGAACTAGGACAAGTGAATAATTCTCACTACACCTTGTTGTATAATCAATACATATTTCATTTATTTCAACCACTATACGTACTACTACTACTATAACTACAAGTAATTTTGGCATATTTCTATGCATAAGAATACAAGTAAGTGGGCTCAAGTGATTATCATGTCATAGACTTGCTCTCCCTCGCTATATATATATATATATATATATATATATATATATGTTCTAGTCAGTTCTTCTCACTCTATCGTTTTTATTTATCTGTGGTTTTTGGGGCATCGTTATGCCATAATCTCCATTTCATGTCAATTGAAAAATGCATCATACACAATGTTTGGCCAGTGTCAACTCATATCAACAAAGAACGTATCCTAGGAAAGAGCCAACATGTGAGTGTGGGTTATTGTATTTAATTTCTATGTATTTTATTTATAATTATAAGTTTATCGAAGATTTAGAGAATTACTCTAAACATATTTACTATGAAGGTATATACGGAACTATTGACAATCTTATCGCTGAAATTAGCTAACTTTTTTTCAAGTTCAATTCATTTAGGTAGAGGTTGATATTGGCATGCAATGAAATTCACGACACACATTTCTCCCTATTTAGGACTCATCAATTGGATGTGCCTGCATCCCAGAGTTGATGTTCACCTCGGAACTCAAACTCAGTACCGTTCGCTCCAAACGCTATCCACTTAACTACTGAGTCCGAATAGCCACTGGCTTGTGAATTGGGGTGAATTTTAGTTTGTATATATATTCAATGTTATTCAATGTTATTATTTTCATTATTTGTTTGCTTCTATATCACTTTGCAAATTGCTTTTATACAATACAAAATCTTATGTTATTCACAAGTACATGGTCAATGAATACTTAGATTTTATTAATTTACCAATCGAGAAAATAATTCACATACGATATATCTTAAACTGACTGAAGATGAAAATAGGAAATATTATATTTCCATTATGAAATGATGATTTATACATCAATGTATAAGTATCTAATATCCTATGGTAACTGAATTGTACTGTTAAGAAGTACCAAAATCTTCAACGAAATAAGTATACAATGTTTTCTAACTTTATATGATTCCTTAACGGATATCAATCATATTGACGGGAATTACTCCCTAAGTATACATAAAATTACTCTAACATGCTTGTTTAACTTTTTTTTCAATGAAATCATTAATGATAAGTGACACAATCTTTTTTCGACTAGCATAAAAGTACATGAAAGCGTTTTGATTCATAATATAAAAAGATGTTCATATTTGGTTTCAATAAAGTCAGAATAACAAATTCGTGTAGTTTACAGTTTGACATTTGTACGAAGTAATCTTTATAGATCAAAACCTACATAGAAAAATATACATCCAAAAGCTGGTAAATGATCTATAATAGTGATTTATTCTTCATCTACGTCCTATCAAGAACCATATTAGACAGAAAACATTCATTTTTTTCAATTTTTTTTTCAATTAATTCGTGGAAATCGCTTAAGTTTAGAACACATTGAACATTCGCACTAATTCCTAGCCTATGTTGCTGAATACGGGTCAAAAATTAAAAATAGTATTCATTATGTTCACGTTTGTTTTTATATTGTGAAGAGTTATTAACTCATATTATGATGAAATTAATACTGAGTTCTATTTCAACATACAATAAATTATCGTATAACTGATCTCTACAAGGACATTTTGATTATAGTTTCTCATTCCAGGATACCGATCAAAGTGTACAGATAAAATTTCTAACATTTAGTGAGACAGCTGTTCATTAAAATGAATATATTAACTAATGATCAGGATACCAGTTGATTAGTATACGATTGTCTTAATTCCTACAACTCAGTAGGTTTAAGCACAAAAGCTTTGAAGTATTAGACAGAAATACAACTTAAAAATATAAGATATTTTTCTAACCTCCCAACTGGAAAAATGTGCCCACACTGTAATTAAATCTATATAAAAATATGCTACAGTTAAGATGAAAAATCATATGAAAACGAATGTTTATGCAGAACAATTTATTTCTGAAATACTCGAAGAATCTTTGCATAATCAGCTGTTTTTACTGTTGACAACACTATAAGCTCAAACAATGTCTTTCGGTATAAAGTTTTGCGCACGTTTTCCAAAAGTGATTTTTTTCTTGAAAGAGTATTTGTCCGAAATTCGATATCTCACTATGAGAATGCTTATTGAAGTGTCAATTTAGTACACGATTCAGCTTCAATGATGTAAATATGTAGATGGATATTATGGAATTGTAAAAAGATAATCATTTGCTTTATTATTGATCAATTTTTTCACCAAACCACTGCTAAATGTTTACATCAGTATACTTTTGAAGATCCAAGTTATATATCTGCGCTTTATCTCCATCACTTTTAAGAGTGTATCATAGCATTGATATGAAAAGAGTTATACATATCAATCACTTAAGACTTATTAAATACACCAAAATTACTTTAAAATACTTAGACTGTAAATCATTAACATAACAGGCAAGTAACGTGTCTTTGTCTTCAACTTGATGGCCGTATCGGAGGCAAATTTATTACATGTATTGAATTCATGTTACTTACATAGATATACACCTATTTTTAAAAGAATCAGCAAATACCTCACACAATATCATAACAGAGCGTTGACCTAATGCATTGAAATCAGTTGAATCAATTTCAGGAAGATCACACAAAAATAACGAAAAATATTAATGGTGTTTTAAATTAAAATAAACATTAGTAAAGAGAAGATAGGGAATAAATAATCTTTCTCGAAGAAACGACCATATTTGTCTGGGCTTTATTAATTTTTCACACTCATCAAACGTATCAACTATCCCCAGTTCAAAATAATAAATAGATTTGTTAATTAAATACAATACCTTTAACTTTCAGTCTCCTCACAAAATGGTATAAAAGGTGACGGTTTTACTGATGTCTAGTATTTTAACCATTAAATTTTATTCTACACTACATTTATGAAAATCCCTATATGATTACGAAACATTCCATACCAAAGTGACAGGAAACTATTTATTTATTTTTAACACAAAAATATCTTATTCTTCAACAATTATAATAATGAAATGAATGGTTCGTAAGAATAAGAGAGTGAAAATTTAGGTTGTGTTCCGAAATTTTATAGATTTTATTGTGAAGTATTAGTAAATACAGTTATTCCATAGATGATATAATGAATAACACTGTCTTAAATAATTCAATAAAATCCAAAATGATAACACTTTAGTTCTTAAAAAGAAAGGTTTTGTTCAAATTTGACCCGATAGTATCACAACAATAAGGGTCATAGTAATAACTAAATAATAATCAGGAAGAGGTTTTGTGGAGATTTTAGTAACTATATGGTTGAATTCATGAGTCAATCGAAGCTCACTAGTGACTGTCTCCAAGATGTATTTCCTGAAGTTTTGGTGAGAAGCAGTGACCAATGGAGTTCAACCGGGTCTGTTGTAAGATGGTAACTCACTGAAGACAATGGTGGACGGTAGCTCAATTTAATGGATTGGTTGAAGTTAGACATTAACGCACTTGGATGCCAGCCGGTGGTCTAGAGGTTAGGCGCTCGCGCGCGAGACGGATAGATCCTGGGTTTGAATCTCGCGAGGCGAGGTCGTGGATGTTCACTGCTGAAAAGTCTCACAATGGGACGAAACGGCCGTCCAGTGCTTCCAGGTTTTCCATGATAGTCTAGCTTCTATTGACTCATGATCTCAACTATTAAAATTACTATAATATCCACAAAACCTCTTCTGATATTTAAAAATGCAATTTTCTCTTTTATATTTTACAAAATTTTATGTTTTATATTTTATGTTACTTTGGATGTACTCAAGAAACTCCCAATAAGGTAATGAGAAACAGAAAGGATGCGAAGACCCAATGTAATACTCATAAAATTGATAATGATTGTATCAATATAGGATGTATCTGTTTACCTCTATTTTTAGGAGACAGTTTAAAATGATGTTGCAAATAATACTCTCGATATTCAAAGTATTATTTGTTCATGATAAATACACTGTATTTTGAAGAAGGAAATGAAGCTTTTTTTAACGGAGTAATGCTTGTTGTTCTCATTATCATTCCTTTCGCGTAATTAGCTGTGCCTTTTAAAGTAAACGACCTATATGTAGATGACTACTGAAATCAGTAAGACTAGTGTACAGGTTTATAAATAATTTCCAACTAAATCAGTAATCAAGTTATTTTTCGTGTATTTGACTTTGTGACATACATTTTAAGTAAGGACTACTGACTAACGTTGTCCAAAACAAAGATCAATTAAGTAGAGTTGAAACCTATGGACCTACGAAACTGAACGTCAAGAACATTGTCTTTATAATTCCATAAGCCTTTTATTACAACTGTTAAATTATGTTCACTTTAAATCTTGTTCTTTCCTCTCCTTATAAGTATTCTGACCTATTTCATCATTTTCACTCTGTATTTCTTTTGTATTTCACACTGAATTACCATAAAATATGTATTGAAATCTTTTTTCATATGACTTTTCAACTGACTTAATATAATGTTTACATATGTATAGAAAAAAGGTCATTTTGTTTGAGTTTCCTTCATCAACCTTTGTTGTGATTTAACTGTATAAATTGTATTACTACCCTTTAAATGTAAACCCATTGTATAGTATCATCTGAAATTAAAAATGCGGATATAGTACCACTTCAGAGTAAGTGTAAGTATTATTCCAGAATAGAGTACAAACTGTACTTTGATGGAGTTTTGTTCTCTGAGCTGGATGGTTTGCTCGTGAAGCTTTCATCGTTCTTCTGAACGACATCATCAGCACAAACTTCAGATAGAAACTGTACTTAATAACTAACAATTTGAATTGAATATAGAAGCAATACGCAAAGAAACAGTCAATTCCTTATTTGCTATTAATCACTCATCATCAACGTATAACATTTTCGTACCTCATATAACCGCAATAAAAGAGAAAATTGATATGATGAAAAACAAGAAAAAGGAATCAATTTAGACTGCTTTGAAAGTATCAACATTTAAAATACAGTTCATGGAAAATAAATGAGCTGGAAGAAGCTAAATCAGAAATCTTATTTAACTCAAAATTTTGATGAAAAGACAAAGTGGATGTAACTTGATCGGTATAACTGATCATGTACCACTCAAAATAATGTTTCCAGCAATCAATTAAAATTATTGAGAAGTCATCCACCCAGAAGTCTACAATTAACTGAATGACTCAGAAAATAAGAAAATCATTCATGTACTAAAGTATTCTTCACTTATTCCTATTAGCTACTATGCTACTCCCCTCATTTTAATTTAGTTTCTAATCATCATAGCAGCAAAATAAATCA